TTACAAGGGTGTACTATTATTACAAGGGAGTACTATTATTACAAGGGAGTACTATTATTACAAGGGAGTACTATTATTACAAGGGTGTACTATTATTACAAGAGAGTACTATTATTACAAGGGTGTACTATTATTACAAGGGTGTACTATTATTACAAGGGTGTACTATTATTACAAGGGTGTACTATTATTACAAGCGAGTGCTATTATTACAAGGGTGTACTATTATTACAAGGGTGTACTATTATTACAAGAGAGTACTATTATTACAAGGGAGTACTATTATTACAAGGGTGTACTATTATTACAAGGGTGTACTATTATTACAAGGGAGTACTGTTATTACAAGGGAGTACTATTATTACAAGGGAGTAATATTATTACAAGGGAGTACTATTATTACAAGGGTGTACTATTATTACAAGAGAGTACTATTATTACAAGGGTGTACTATTATTACAAGGGAGTACTATTATTACAAGGGGGTACTATTATTACAAGAGAGTACTATTATTACAAGGGTGTACTATCATTACAAGGGTGTACTATTATTACAAGGGTGTACTATTATTACAAGGGTGTACTATTATTACAAGGGTGTACTATTATTACAAGGGAGTACTATTATTACAAGCGAGTGCTATTATTACAAGGGAGTGCTAGATGCCCTGATAAATGAAAACTATAGATTAAAATATAGAGTATGAGTCTAGCCTAGCTGAATAACCAATCCCATGTGTAGCACTATTCTTCATAGACATTTCCTATAGAGGAACTGGGTGTCGGTCAGATATCCAGTGTTGTCAGGGAAGGCCAAATAAGGGTAATACAAAAATGAAAAAAATTCTGACTAACGAAAAATTCCATTACTGCAACTGAATGCCGTACACGATTGCCTCTCCGAATATATTACTTGCCCTTCCGAACAATCAAGGTTGGCAACAGTCCAGATTTATTAAAATTTTTATTGATTTGTACAATTTACATATTATTATATCATGTCATCATATAGTCACGATAAGATAATTCTATTCACCTTGATCAAATTCAAAACATAAACAGTCTAGTTTATCTTTAGGTAATCCTTTCACGATATTTAGGGGTAGAGATCACATTAAATAACGGACCAGGATTTTATCAAGGCCGTGGCTATTCGCACCGCGACGGTACAAAAATGAGCATTAAACAATATATGGCCATCCCTACCCAACCCTTAACAAAGTCATTTAATATCATTCTTGACAATCAAAATGGCTTCACGCTTTGAAAAAAAACTAGCGCGACTATTGTGTCCGATCTTATCCGTACCGTTGTAAGCAGCCATAGAGAGCATGCATCGTGACGGTACGCAAATAGCCAGTACGCTTAATGATATTAATCATAAAATTGTGTCCCGTTATTTTATATATTTAGGAAGTCTTGTTGGTACGTATCGTGTCCAAGCCACATCCCCATTCGTCATACTTCCTCGGGGCTGTGATACGATGGGTGGTACGCAATATCTGTATATTTTTATTACTACC